ATAACTTACCTGAGTATATCAAATCTACAAACTCAATGCGGATGATTTTAAACGCAAACTTAAAACATTTCTTTTTTATGCGAGTTTATGAATCGTGATGTTTTTATTTGTTATCTGATTTTTTTTTATCTATTGTGTACATTTATCTATTTTGTAGTTAGCGTCTAGTTTTAATGTCAATTTCTTGCGATTATTTTTACTTTTTACTTCTATCTAATTTTTTGTAAACAGCGCCTTTGAATCTTGTAGAAAAGGCGCTATATAAATGGATTATTATTATTATTATTATTATTATTATTATTATTACAAAGGCGGCACTTTCTCCTCACTCATTTTAAAGACCCTGAGTGTTGGTCCGGCCGGGATTTGAACTTACGGCCTCCCGGCGCTTATCCGATTGAGCTAACCGGGCGGCGGGTAGAAAATAAAGACTTGTCTTTCAAGTTTACTTTCTATTATTTAGGTTCTCATATTTGCTATCGGGAGGAGCTGGCAATCCGCTTTGTTTGCTTAACAAGTATGATGACCTTTATAGTCACAGCTGTTTTTAGTCTCGTCACGCAAGGATCGTTGCGTGACGAGACTGGGGAGAGGAGATTTTAGATGGGGAGGGGACGGGGAGAAGAGAAAGGAAGGCCTGACACAAAACCATTCAGCAAATCGTGTGACACATCCAAAACGGCTTTGATAACACACAATACCCCTGACGTCACCGACCGCAAGAGCGATCGGCACGGTCATTGAAATTTTTCATAGATGTTTTGATTTATGTTCGGTATGTGACTACAAGAACCGAGGCTCCCTCTTCCTGGAATAAAAATAATTGTGTTTTCCACCGGGCATTGCACAGGTCTCATTAACACGATCACATGACGGTTGATTGGTCAAATTCAGACTGAATCACCGTAAAAAGAGGCGATTCACGCTGTGCATTACAAAAATCACCAATGTTAGCTAATGGTGGCCCGGGTCTATTGCGCGGGATTCCCGCGTAAGTTACGGGATACTCCAAGGCCCGGTACCCCAGCCTCTGTTTCAGATGTTATGTCACAGAAGAGAGAAGAGCTGAAGACTATCGCTTTTGGTCTGAATTTTTCCTGCAAAAATCGGTCATGTTTAGAAGAGTGCTGTTAACACCACGTCTGAGTTCATCCTCATGTCGAATTTTGATGACAAGAGGCTTAAAAACGACAGCGACTGATCAATCGACTGAAGCTGTTGCATCAGTGAGTTCAGGTACGTTCGTCCACCACGCGAGACGATTTAATTTTTAACGCACTGAAACGTTTTTGCATCTATGGCTGTCTATGCGAGGATCTTTTTGCGATTTAAGTAACTTTGGGGACTGTTTAGTATTTGAAAATTTCCATTGAGGATCATTTATACTGCCATCTAGATCTACTTTAAGTTCTTTATTATGCATTGTCATATACACTGACATCTATTGTTATCTTTACTTTGTAATTAAATATTTGAGATCACGGTATATGGAGGACAACCCAGCCTTATTTTAGCTAACTGCATCTATGGTTACATGGTTACACTAACCGTTTTTACCTGTCGGTAAAATTAATGGCTCTTGCCTATAGAGAAGCAACTTTTTGCGTGTAACCTACTTGCCAAATTTTAGAATTCTCTTTTGGAAATTTCCATGGATATATGAAAATCCCCCTTGAGGTAAAAGCAACTCTACCAGTCCTGAGAAAGTGAGATGACAAAATTGTGACCTCCCACTGAGCTGCTGTCCTTAAAAGCAGAATAGTTTTCAATGTGTGTGGTCTTGGTTCTCTTTGCCAAAGGCTGGTTTTCAGTAGCAGGGGAGTCGGAGTTGGAATCGTAAGTGGAGTCGTAAGAGCGCTTATGACCTTGTGAAAATAAAAAATCGGAGTCGTAAGCAGAGTCATAAGCTCAATAGAATTGGAGTCACAAGAATCAGAACATTTCCATTTCTTCCAACTCTGCCTATGACTCCGTTGCTTTGTTCCGCTTATGATCTAGTGAAAACCAGATTATTGGAGTCGAAAGTGGAAGCGGAAGGATAAACCAATCACAATGCACGTTCCCACACTTTGTGATTGGTTTAGTTCTTCCACTTCTGCTTGTGACTCTGACAACCCAGTTTTTACTTGATTGTAAACGAAGGAGTTGTAAGCGGAATCAGAACACTTTTTCACTAGATCGTAAAGTTCTACGCTTGTGATTACTACTGCGACTTCGACTCCGTCGCTCGTGAAAACCAACCTCAAGAGAATAATTTTTATGCAGACTGCTGTTTAGTAAGAGTTCATTCCTTTGGTTACTACATAGTTTAAGTAGTAAGAAACAAAGAAATACAGTGTAATTATTGCATTAAATTCTTCAAGTATTTTTTTAACAACAGGAGTTGAATTCTTAAAATTATCCTTTGACTGAAAAAAACCCAGTCATTCCAGTTTTGATGAGTCAAATGAAAATTTTTTGCCAGAGAAAAGCTGTTCTGGCAATGCTCACCACATATATGTTTTCACTTATTAAGAGCCAATAATAATAATGACAAGTTCATTTAAGTCAAGAAGCTTCTAGCTTTATGGCACAAGTGTCTTGCTAAACAGGGTGACAATATTAAGAGGTTACCAAATTAAACAGTATTTTCTGAGCACCCGCCACTGTTGTTATGCAACTTTCATTCCCTTATGCTGTCACATGATACAGAAACTAGTTTTCAACATAAAATATGCATTGTCATGTACACAAGCAAATTGGCAAATATTACAGTTGTATTTGTCATATAAAGATACTCATCTGTATTCATCTGTTGAACTCCAACACAAAGAAATGTGCTAGCTTTGTAAAATTTTGCAGAGATTATTTTCTTAAGTAATATTTAATGTTTAGTTACTTGCATGTGCTGGTGTGAATAACGCTGAGCTACACTGCAGTTTTATAAAATACAAACACATAGGTATAAATCCTTAAAATGAAGCTTTAATTTTTGATGTTGTCATTTTATTACTATAGATGAAGACTCCTCAGAACTGAGACCTTTGTACCTAGATGCGCAAGCAACTACTCCAATGGTATGAAAATGTACTATTAATATGGATCATAATTAATATTGATAGTGCAAGATGTACAACAATTCAATATCAGCTATGACTGAGATTTCGATATAAAAATCATAATTTGTTGATAACTAATAACATACATCTGTGACCTCTCATGCAAAAATGTACACTAACGTCTTTCTGTTTTCAAATAGCTTTCCGTTTACAAGCCATTTGTCGGCCACTCGAATGGCTTGATCACCGGTTCATTTGAACCGTCAGGCTGTTTGAACGACTTGGTTACTTGTTTGTTAGAAACATCAGCCTGTTTGTTTATATGGCAGCATTGTTTTTTTAGCCATTTACGTTAACCTGTTTGAAAATTTTCCTAAGCCGTTCAATCATTAGGGAAACCCATTTGGAAATTTTGATGAGCCGTTTGAACAGGTAAGTAAACAGTTTGCCAATTTGTGTTAGCCATTCGAAATACTTAATAACCCATTCATTACTTCAATGAAGCCATTCAAACGGGTGAGTAAGCTGCAACCCATTTGGTAGCCGTGCATTTCACCCATTAACAACTGCATCGCTAAAATGGAGGTTGGGTGCCTGAAGTATCCAGGGGCTTCCACTATTGGCAGCCAGCCCCTAGATTGAAATAATGCCCCCATGACTGGCACAACAGCGCAACCCAGCCATAAGCCCCCACACCAAAGGAAAGGAACAGGCACCCGTCACACTGACAAACATCAGTGGAGGAAAACCCAACAAGCCTAGTGGGAGGGCGGGAGGGGAAGAAAATGGGCGACAGAACCCAGCACGAAGGGAAAACTGAACGCGCCAAGGAATCAGATGATCGATGTAGTCAGCCACCGGGCATGCCCATGCCAAAGACCGCTGACCTAGGCACCCAGGCGCTCTTAGTTGTTAACTCCTTTAAATTGCATTTAAATTCATTTTAACGGAATTCCATTAGGGTACGTTTTCGCATGAGAGGTCACATCTATTAATTTATGACTTTACGCTGTACACTGTAGTTGACACATGACCAATAATGTCATGGCTTAATTGACCAATCAGGACAACCAGTAGAGTATTACAAAAAATCTCATATTATTTCACATAAGTGACAATACACAACTCATTTAAACTTTGTACATGTTTTCTGCACAGGTTTCCAGAATTTCAGTTTCTGTCGTCATCGTCCCATTTATGACACTACACTCACTTAGTGTTCTATTAAGTTCATTTTACTTCTGTCAGCTGGGCACTCCTCGGTTCAAATCTTTTTCAATAAATAAATCAAATATTTGTCTCAAGGGATACATGTACAGTTGGCTCCTGATAACTTGAACCTTCTAGGGAAATCAAAAAAGGTTCGAGATAGCGAGAGTTCTTAGTTATCAGGAGTTTCAAGCAAAATACCGGAAATAAGAAAATGGGTTGGTGAATAAATGCAAGTAACACACACTATTCAAAACTTGATAAATACATAGTGCTAGACACTGTATTTAAACTGGACTGACAAAAAAGTAAGACAAAGAATACATAGTTGTTAAAGTAGTTTCAATGTTTCAGACTGCGTTAAACTTTTTTTTGACTTGTCAGGCACTTGAAGTATCAAGTTATCGAGGGTCAATTTATATAGAAATGATGTGAAGGGAAACAAAAAGTAACAATTATTATTACTTCGAGTTAGTGGGAGGTTCAAGTTGCCGAGGGTAAAATTATACTAAATGTATGAAGGAAATCAAGGGAAAATTGATTTTGGTTTGAGTTAGTGTGAGGTTTGACTTAGCGAGGCTTCGAGTTATCGGGAGTCAACTGTAGTAAAATCAAGAGTCAAAGATTCTTATTTGACTATGTTTTTCTATTATAATGTTCTGTCAAGTTAATAGGTAGAATATTAAACTTTCAATTAAAAAATAACCCCCTTTTTATCTATGTGGTTAGGATCCACGTGTCTTGGATGCTATGATGCCATATTCAGTATCTTACTATGGGAACCCACATTCACGGACCCACGCTTATGGCTGGGAAAGTGAGCAAGCTGTGGAGCATGCTAGAAAGGTACATTGTAATGATAAACAGTATTGTTCTTCCTGCCCAGCTAATTAAAACTTGATTCAAGCAAATTGAATGCATGCAAGAATCATATGTTTTACTTACAATGTTCCATTAAATGCATTTAAATCTGCATGATTACATAATGCATAATTATTATGTTACTGTTACAGCATGTGGGATGTTTTCTACCTCATTTTATTAATACAATGCCGCATCTCTTAAAAGTTTTGAAAAGTTTAGACCTAAAAGCTTATTTGAAGCCTGAAAGTGGCTTTCTGCTTTTAGACATAGTTACTTGTTTCCACAAAATAGACCTTTCCTGTATTTCGCTCCCGTGAACACACAATGAAATGAGCTCACAGCTTGGGTGGACAATTTCATACAAATCACCATTCACCCCATGCCTTGAGTTGGTGCCATTTTCACTGAAATTCACAACAGTCTGTTAATCTTGATTTCACTTTGCCTGGCCTTCTGATTGGGCGTGATTAAAAAGCAGAAATTATGTGGCATTTTCAGGGTAGATTGTGCGATAAGATAGGAATATTGTGGGATAAATAAATTTATTATGTGATTTTTCAGGGCAGATTTAGACTGCACAACAGTCGGTTTTTTTCTCAAAATCAGTAAAGAAATCAGTAAAGCGTGGCGTAAGAGTCTTGAATACACAAAAATATGGACTGTTTTGCAGTCGAGGGCTGATTAACATTGTTTTACCAGTTTTCAAAGGAGAAAAATCACTTTAATGTTGTTTAACAGGCAATTTCAATGTAAAAGAATAATAAAACATCTGTTTTTAAACAAAATAGTTAAATTTGTCCGATTTTCTTGACCCGAAAAAAAAAAACAAATAGAAAGAAAGAAAAAAGACACTTGTTTAACATTACATGATGCTGTTTACACCGCTTTCAAGGCTTTCTTTAGTGGTAAATCACTTGGGAAAATGTGTAATTCAAGTTACATGTAGTTTACTTGAATTTAGCATTTTTTTTTTAACGAATATATGCGATTTTCCTCAAATTGTGTGATCTGATGTGATTTGAGGCCAAACGAGCGAAATCGCACCATCGCATAATATCAGAAGCCCTGATTTGCTCCCCAAATGGTGTCCTATTGGAAACTCTGGTCCTATCAAATAAATGATATTGCATTTTTAGGTGTTTGATCTCTTTTGGACCCAATGGGTTTAAATCGCAAACCTCCTTGCTTTTCAAATTATCTGTGAATGGTACAAGATCATTAATTAATGCCATTTCCTTTCACAAACCTTTTCAGCCATAGCCCTGTAAATTATGATATAGTGGGAGTGTTTATTTTTTTTGTTTAAAATTTTGTTTTTTTGAAAGTGATCATAATTTCCCTTTTACAGCAAGTAGCAGAATTGATTGGTGCTGATCCTAAAGAGGTTATATTTACCAGTGGTGCCACAGAGTCAAACAACATTTCAGTCAAGGTACTTCTTACTCAAACCCTAGGATTTCAATTCCCATGGAAAACAATTTTTCAGTTCGGTGCCCAGATATCATGGGAAACCAACAGCAACAATTTTTTGGTTCCATGAAAATTCATGGGAACCCATCCCCTAAATGTTTATAATTTTTCAAAGTCATATATTTTTTTCTTGGCACTGGAAGCCATAAACCAGTAATGTATAATGCTTTTTGGGAATGGTTCAAGATAAAAACTGATAGATGCTAAACATTTCAGTTTTGTATGTGAGTCATACATGTAACTAAAGAATTGCCCTACTAGTTAAGTATCTGTGTGGAAAATTAAAGAATTTCTGTAGATGGATCCCTAGGGTTGAAAATGGCACTGGGAAACTATTGTTTTGGTTCCATTATTTTACGACCTCGGTAACAACACGGTACCGGAAACTTTTGTTACCGTGAAATCCTAGGGCTTGTGACTATGTCTTTTGTAAGCCTTAGAATTTTTTCTTTATAGCTCTTAAACTTGTCTCTTCTTATTGATTTTAGAAGAGTTAAATGCCTTATGTCTGTATATTTTATTATTATGGAGTGTATTTCCTCCATCTTGAATTTGAGCCTTCAGGGTCAGCAGTTGCTTCCAATCCCACAAGCGTCAAAAATTAAAGTGGTGTCCTACATGTTAAGGTCAAAAGACCATGTCTTGCATCAAATAAAGAAAATTATTTATGAGGTTGTGTTCACAAGAGAAAAAAGGATGTTTTGTAGCCAGAAGGCCTCTGGACCTAGCTGTTTGATTTCCCGCCTACTTGTGGTATTTTAATACCCGGCAACTTGAAGTCTTAGTGACATCTCTGACAGTGATGTATTGTAATTAATATAAAAATAAATGTATTATTACTTGACAAAAAAATTAATAGAAAGTACCGTCTGTGTTTACTGATGCAGCTCACTGCTATAATGCGTATATTTTATCATTGCAGGGGGTGGCAAGATTTTACAAACGAAACAAGAAACATGTTATAACAACACAAACCGTAAGTGTAAAGGATTGTAAATTTTAGTCCTGTTTTGAAAACAGCAAGGATAATACTACCCTGGATGCCAGAGACTTTTCTAGCTCGGTTTCCGAAGATACGTCGGCCTTCGGCCAACACCGAAAATTTCCGGTGCACGCGAGAAAAACCTCTGGTACCCAGGGTAGGATAATACATAATTATAGCCTGAATTTCATCCGACTGCTTTGAGTCATTTTCTCCTGTCAGCAATGTCTGAATCAACCAGCCATTAATGCCGTCCCATGACATCACTACTACCCGAAAACTGGGTAGGGGTTTTGATTGATGGATTGTCTAAACATTTGCATAATTATGTATAATTATGAGAAATTTTAGTGGGATTGTCGCTTGATATTCAGTGAATTGCATTGGTGGCATGCTTGTGGAGTTCAAACATTTCGATAATCTTTATTCCAAACAGAAAAATTGCCCTTGTGTTCGAAACTGAATTGCTAAATTGAACTGCGAATGTAGAATCATTGCGGAGAGTCGGTAAGTTTTTCATTTAGAGCCGCTTTGTGGTTTCCGCAGTGATATTGTGTATGCGAAGTTTCCAAGACCAATGTCATGTTGTCATTCGAGCTTGCTATTTTCACCGTCAAGTGTAATGATTCTGTTAGCTTTTCTTTCTTGTTGCCTTGTTTTCTTTTTTCGTTGTTAAGGATCGACCAAATAGCTTCTTTTTAATTAAAGGAAATTGTTGTGTTTTTTAACTAAGTGTTCCGTGTGTGTATTTATTTCATTGCGTGATTGCGACCAAGTTTGAATTGCAGCCGCTTCAGAGTACCGCATGCAGTTGATAGTTTGATTGTTAAACATAAATTACGATCGAAAAGAGTAAAGAAATTCTGTCAGCTGTTCTGTATCATGTAGACATTTCCAAACAATATTTCTTGGTTTGCCACTTGAAAATCATGTGAGTTTACTTTTTGCATGAATTAAGGCAAAGGAGTGGTGACGTCACCAGACAGCATTAATGTCATTCAGACGTTAGTGACAGAGGGAGTAATAACGACTCAAAGTAATCGGATGAAATTCAGGCTAACATAATGTAATTTGTACTTTTGCAGAGGTACAAATAAAATGTCTTTATAAGAAGTCTTTGAATTCACTTATTTGAGGCTGGGCACCTATTCGAAGTTGGGTGCTTATTCGAAAAAATATGGTATTCTAGGAACCCACGTGTTGGTCTGACCAGGAGTTGAAGCCAAGCCTATTGCTCCTCAATCAGGTGGCCAACCCCTTAACAACCAGTCAGCAGTATGCAGACATTTGGAAAAAACTGTGTATAATGCCATTTTACAATAAAAGAGTGGTTTTTCATGATCAAGGAGAGTATTGACCATAGAAATGATGTGGTCATGATGGTGAAATTTTCTTTCTGTCATGCTTTATTTTCAGAGAAAATGCTGATTGGTTAAGATTTATGGACAATGAGAGTAATAGACTATGCATCTAAATGTCGAAATAACATGATCATGATGGCACAATTGTTTTTTTTTTTCTTTCTCTCGTGTGCAACTGCTTACATGTACGTAAAAGGTTGTGCAATTTGCCAAGCAAAGAGGTTTCATTTTGCAGTGAAACCACCTGCCTGCGGCTCTTGTGGTTCTACTTGAGTTTTGAACAGTTTGACATCATTCAAGTCATTTGACGTCATTGAAGTTTCTGTGCTATTACTCATGACTTTGTGAATGTTGTATCTTTTAGGAGCATAAGTGTGTGCTTGATTCTTGTCGCGCCCTGGAAAGTGAAGGTTTTGATGTGACCTACTTGCCTGTCATGGAAAATGGTCTTATTAACCTGCAGGTGAGACAAAGTTAATGCATTTCTCTTTACGTCAAAATTCTTTCTCGTAACTTGAGAAACTGTGGTCTTTAATTTATTATATTGAACCGTTGTAAGTTAGAAGAAATTATAGACTGGAAATGAATAAATACCGTAAAATTCCGAAAATAAGCCCCTGGGCTTATATAATTATTCAAAGGCCATTTTCGGAGGGGCCTATATTCGGAGGGGCTTATATACGGAGGGAAATTTGCGTCTCAAAATCGATTGGGCTAGCTCATAGTTGGAACGAAATTTATCTCTGTACATGTAATATGTAATTTGTACAAAGGATTTACCGAAACTCGCCTTGAGGACGTAGACCTTTCTAAAACGCAACCATGAAAGTACTTGTCTATATGGACCAAGAAAATCCAAGCTAAGAGTGAAGAGTGAACTACGCAAACAGTAATAAACTGTTACGCTTTCTGACTGCAATCATTTAGCACATGTAACAGTTCTTCGGCAAATATGTACAAAAAATTATGTGTTGCTGTACCATTAAATATTGCTTTATTTTACTTTGTATTTGAAGGCAATTTCCTAGTACAAGCTCTTGGGTGCTTATATTCGGAGGGGCAATTAAACGGAGGGTTTTTTTGCGTTACGAGTTTGGGGGCTTATATTTGGAGGGGCTTATTTTCGGAATTTTATGGTATAATCTAAATATTTCAGCTGAATCGCTTAGATCATTCAAATGTAAATGGCTGTACAGTAGTCACACTTTAGGATGGTCGTGTGACAAGAGAACTTCATCAGAGGTTTTTGGTAGTTCCAGCCTACCATCCTGGTTGAGAGATAACTATAACCTCCGTGATCTTCCTTTTAACAGTTTGTCTCCTGCCAGTATAATCTTAGCCCGTGCCAGGCTCTCAGTCAGTGCAGATAAGCAAAAAAAGCAGGCCAGTAGCGAAAAAGCTAGTATACGAGACAAAAAACAGGCCAGTGTCAATCAGATGCAATAAAAAGGCTGAATATTTAACAAGCGAAAAACGACGAGGTAAACTCCATACCTCTGAGTTCGAGAGCAAAAAATAGGGGGATAAAATAAAATCTTCTATAAGGTAATTTAGTCTTTTAGCTTTAATTTGATATATAACTTTCCTTTGTAGCGAAAATACTCGCGCGACTAGAATTTTTTCTCTGGGCACCTCGTTTTCCTTTATCGAGACCTTAAATACCTCAGTCTCTCCACTACCCTGCCCACTTCCAGAAAAACTGTTCCTCATGTCAAAATGTCAAAGATTCTTTATCATAAATAGAGAAAATGCATCAGGTGCAGGGGGGTTTTGCACACTCACCATGTTTTTAACGTGTACCCATGTGATTAACGTGAGCGTTGATGTTAACTGTCTAAATTGACCGATCACAGGGTATACCAGGAGCTGGTATACTGTAATGAGGTATTGAAAACAATGCCTGCAGGCTCCACTTCCCTGTCTCTCCCCAGCTCCCAAGCAGTTTTGTCGCAACTTTTCTCGAGCCGCTTTCCCTACTATCTTGGAGCCTGGAACAGGCTAGTATGATCTTAACGCATCAGGTATGATAGAATGACCTGATGTAGAACAATGTTCATGTACTGCAGAAGATGTTCGAGTTTGGTGCTTCTTCAATCTGCTACCCAGAGCTCTAGCTTTTTCTCCCATGTAATCAACTAGGATATCAGTCTTTACATAGATCATACTGTGCCCGCTGCTGTAAATTGGGTTCTCATCCCTGATTTGTGAAAGCTGTTGTCTGAGGTTTTAAGTTATGTTGTTATCTTAATACAGCAACTTGAAGAAGCAATGAGGCCTGACACATCACTCGTCTCTATCATGACTGTCAACAATGAGATTGGTGTCAAACAACCTGTCAAAGAAATTGGTAAGGTCTTAGTGGAGAAAACAAATTTAATGTCATGTAGTAGATTGACTTTTCCCGTGAAGGGCTACTCGACAAATTTTTACACAGGGAGTCTTCATCCCGATATCTAACCCCTTGCCCTTTTATAACTCGTGATAACAGGAGTGCGGGCGACAACGATCGAAAGTCCAAACACTTTTGCTCTAACGCTGTGCTTTGAGTAGGTCTGCACTGACTAATGGTCAAAATACGCGTGAACAGATTCCGAGGCGTAGACGGTCGAAACGCACGTGACCAAATTGCGTTCTATACGTTCCATTCATTCTTAGGGGAAGTCCAAACGAATGCTGGCTACATACATGCGACGCATGCGTAATAACAACCTGGAGATTAGGATTGTGGGCTCTCCTTGTCGCCCCTTTTGTATCCCCTATACTGACAAATGGTACCCCTTTCACGTACTTAGTAGTTAAGACCTTTGCATCCCTTTATTTGATTTAATTGCTGTTAATGCGCTATTTTTAAAATACGAACAAATCACCAAACCAAATTCTTTTCCTGACTTTATCACAGCCATACTATTATAATGCATCTGTTGGCCCTTTTGAGCCTTTTTACTGACTGAAGTGACAGATTTCCCTACCCTTTCATATACTTCAACTAGTGAAATCTCCTGCCTGTCATACATCAAAAGCCTGAAAAGTCACCGCAGAGCTTCACCGTATAGGCCATCATAGGAAGTACCCCGGGACACGTGTCCGCTTCCAGCTGGTGGCAATTTTCATGTGTGTTTGTGACTTGCTTTACTATCCTTGAGTGAAAGGAAGGAGTTCACTGTTAAGAGTTCTGACTGTTAGCATACCATTATCTATTCTACTTTCTATTTGTGACAGGGGCCCTTTGCCGTAAGAAGAAAATCTTCTTCCACACAGATGCGGCACAAGCAGTTGGCAAGATTCCCGTCGATGTTAATGAATTGAATATTGACTTGATGTCAATCAGTGGACACAAGATTTATGGACCTAAAGGTACATTTCATTGTAACAGTACACATATCTCATTGCAAACTTGTACAGTTCTATTCCAATTAAAGCCATAATCAAATATCTTCATAAGTCATTTTTAATAACCATGACATGCAGGCTACATCTCCATTGGTCATGGCATAGAAAGAACCTCTTAAATCATTAAATCTGCCTAGTTTGAGAGTACCTTAAAATTTCGTGGGTACTTAATTTCGCGATTTTGGAAAGATAGTATTTTGCGGGGTTTTATTTTCGCGATTTCAATATTAATTAAGCAAATATGAAAAAGGGCATTAAATTTCGCGATTCAAGCGTTCTCAACTTGATTTTATTTTTCTTCAATCCTCTGAACATTTTAAAATATCGAGATAAAATGAAAGAAGCAAAACGCGTATTAACGTTATTTCAGTACGGAAGACACAGTCACGGAATGGAACGCACCAGTAAAACCAGCTAATAAGAATTTTGTCGCTATTTGTGGACAGATATACCCTGTACATTGTGTGTTGTAGTTATTAAATGTTATTCTTTTTTTTTTTTTCTGTGATTTGAATTTTCTATATGGGTAATAAATTTCGCGGGGCTTTTTACAGTCGTGGGTCTTTAATTTCGCGAAAACACGAAACTAAAGACCCACGAAATTAAGTCCCAATGAGGTGATACCCTGAAAACTGAACATGACAAACATCTGTAAAATTTTACGAGTTTGCAGAGCTACATCTTTGCTGGTTTCTGACGTATCACTTTTAAACCTTAAAAGTTTACAAAATAAATTTAAGACACTCTTTTCAGCAGTATCGACGAATATTTGCGAACGCGGCATTTTTTAAAGTTCAAAGGAGTCCTGGAAGGGTCTGTTCACTTTTACACCGTAGAAGTGTCTGTAATGCACATGTAAATGTTTGTAGACGCTTCTTTTGAGGAAACCTACTAACATTTCTCTTTATTGAATGGTACATAGGCGTCGGTGCTTTGTACATCCGAAGAAAACCTCGTGTCAGAGTGGAACCCATTCAAAGTGGCGGAGGACAAGAGAGGTATGTGCCATTAGCCCCATTTCCATCAGTAAGACAAATATTACATCTTAAACAGGGTTTAGTTAAACTTCAGAATACCCGGCCGCTCTTTTGCATATCATTGAATAACAAAAGTGCCTATTGTGTTATACCTCGTTCTTTAAAGAGTTCAGACAAATGTAAATGATGTGGCCGGGTCTGAAGTTGCTCCCAGTGTTTTTCCGTGACAAGTAAATGTATATCGGAAAAGTTGACTAGTTTCTTACCTTTAAAAGTTTCTAAATTTACATAGGTGTAAGATACAATAGTACAACCATCTCCCGTAGGGGTGAATAATGGTGAAAACACTGTATATGCCGAGACGCGAAGCGTCGAGGTATATATCTAGCGCCGTTCACCGATCCTGAGGGGGATAGTTGTTTTAGCATTTACTAAATCAGTTGGATAAAAATGAAGAAAAATAACTTTTTGTAAATTAAAAACGTCACTTAGTGGGAAGTTTGTTTACAATTTACGAACATTTCGAGGATTTTGTCAAGGGTGTCTTTACAATTTTGTTGCAAATTCAGGACGAAAATAATTTTCTACCTACCCGAGTAAACACCGTCAAGCTGAAGTTCGTCGCTTTCCTGGTATTTTATTCTACGACTGCTTCATTTCTCGCTCAGATTTCGTCTTCCGAAAATTTCTCGAGACGAGACGTCATGTTGGCCTCGGTCGCAAAACAGTGAATGGCCAAGGATATTTCGAGTTAGGGTAGCCAATCAGAAGGCGCGAAAATTGCTATTCACTGATTTGGTAAATACTAAGTAGGGCTATTCACAGGTGGTCCCACAGGCACCCCAACCTCACGAGGGAGAATCGTTGCTTAACAGAAATATTACAAGGGTTTGTATGGGGATTTTAACGATCGTTATTTAGGGTACAAAAATAGTAATAAACATACGTTTTTCATCCAACTGCTCCACCAACTAAACAAGGTGCTCAATCCTTGGCAGCTGAAAAGGTCTGTTTTTCTTTTTTATTTTGGCATTTAACATGGATGAAGAACTTTCTCTGTTGTACATGAATCCTTCGATGTTCAAACCATTGTTTGATAGTGGTCCTTTGGTTTCATTTCAGGGGCATGCGCAGTGGTACTGTGCCTCACGTGTTGGCGGTTGGACTTGGAGCTGCTTGTGAGGTTGCAAAGGATGAATTGGAGGTAAACTAGTAACGACAAATTATTGATACCTTCAATGCAGAGGAACCCCAGTGTGTGTGTGGATCATCCAAAATCAACCTAATAGAAAGGAGAAGCAAGACGTCACGTTACCATGGTGGCAAAATTTCTGAATCCCAACAGTCCTTCTTGACAGAGACGGTCATTTGCATTGTTGAACGATGGAAGAAAAGTATGGACCGCTGTTTTGTTCTTTAGTGCAATCATGTACAGGAAAGTCTTACACGTTTTTTTTTCTGCTATATTTGCAGTAACCCGATTGGTTGAGATCCAGAAATTTTGCCACCATGGCAACGTGATGTAACGACTTCTCTCTATTGCCGTATAAAAGACAGGGTGTAGTTGTGACAGTTTCTAGGAAATACTGACCGGAAGATGGTATTTTTGTCCTTGGGCTCGCTCGAGATTGTGTGGTGGGGGAAGGGGGGATGGGGAGGTGGGGAGAGAGAAGGAGACTCTCTTTACCCCCGTCCCTCGAGTCGAGCCCAGAGATCGCCAATAGTGCTTTCTCGCCGGCTAAGTATAAGACAATTATCTACTTAAGGGTGTGATCTAGTTATCAACAGATTTGGAGGCTCACGGATACATTTTCAACCTGCAATCTAACTTAAAATTACAAATAACACTAAGTGCAGTCAAACATCCAAGTGCGACCACCTCTGGTAAACCGACCTTCTCGCATAAGCGACCACCTTTATTACACTTATCAAAACCACCAACATTTTCCTAGTCAGATCATTACAGTTAGAACCTCTAGTAAACGACCATCTTTCGTTAGTGACAAAGGCGTGACCACTTTTTTGGATGACGGTTTTGGAATTTTCCATTGTTTTTATCGCCCTGTAAGTTGTCCCTCGCAGACGTTCTTTTGCCTTGTCACGCAACCCTCAGGAACGCGTGACGAACCCCTAAGAACGTTTGCGTTAGAGGCTAGTTGTAAGCGACCACTTTGAGCCTTTCATTTTGATCTCTATGTCCGCTGTATTTACTAGGCTACTCAGATTAAGGAGAAGAACTTTTAGTGACACGTCTTCTTAGAAGAGAACCGCTGTGTTTGGATTCTCGCAAGAGACCACCTGCCGTGAGCGACCACTAAATCTTCGCATTTTGGGTGGTCGCTTACGGGAGGTTTGACTGTTAAGCTTTTAATTTGGTTATCATCTTGCTTAAGACTTCGGTCCTATGTCGTACATGTGGAAGGCTGTGAAAGAAATCAAAGTGAAAATTCGCTATCAATAGGAGATAATCCTCAATCCTGTCTGTAATCTACTAAGTGGTCACGTGATTGTTGTCTAGTGGTATTTATTTACAAGAGGCTCTTTGGTTTGTATTTTTAACAGTATGACCATAAAAGGACAGTAGAACTGTCAACTCGGCTGGTGAATGGCATTACATCCGGGTTAACTCACGTGGTCAGGAACGGTGACCCGGATCACTCTTATCCCGGATGTGTAAACTTGTCTTTCGCATTTGTTGAAGGCGAGAGTCTTTTGATGGCGCTTAAGGATGTAGCACTGTCTTCAGGCAGGTGGGTGCGAGTGAAACGTGAATTGAAAAATTGCCACACGGATTGCTTATCATGTCACTCATAATTTTAAGGGAGGTTCTAACTTTTTAGTCTGTGAATAAAATCCTGTGGTGTGACCATTCAACTGAAACCTCTTCAGCAGTACTTTCACTTGGTACTATCTATTTAGTATGTATTCTTGAGTCTGCAGATGAAATCCTATGGTGTGACCATTCAAATGAACCTGTTCAGCAGTACTTTCACATGTTACTATTTATTTAGTATGCAGTTCTAACTCGTGAGTCTGAATGAAATCCTACGGTTTAACCACTCAGATTGTGCCATTTCTTTTTTGTAACACATGAAAAATGTGTATTACTTGAGTTTCGGTTTGTTGACACTTACGAGCGAAAACCATTTAAAATTACTCGCGTGGAATACCAAGTGCCCAGTGCCTACAGACACCGAAATTTAAGTAAATGTTATCGTTTTTGATTTGCCAACGAACTAACAAAGTCAGGTTTCTTTGCTGTGACCATGACCTTTGATTGGCCTATTTACGCGTGGGCTGCCCCGCTAGAGTTCGTTGCACTGGAAAGTTATTTGCTCCTGTTTTTTCCTTTGGCCCCTTTCAGATTAATAGTATTATTATAATCTTTCTTTCCAGCGCATGCACCTCAGCTTCACTGGAGCCTTCCTATGTGCTGCGAGCGATTGGAGCTGATGACGATCTCGCCCACTCATCTATCAGGTACTGAAACCAGCGCAGTAGTACTCAGGCCTTGTTATTTTATCTGTCCTGTTGAGGCCTGGGACGGGTCCTAGTTTTAGAGACTCCAGTTCTATTCCCTATCGCTCCGCTCAACCGAATAGAAAATATTTTGTGATAAGTATCAACAGTGGTGCATGGAGGGAGCCCCAGCAGTCGAGTTTATTATGCGAATAAGAGTTCAGCAAAAGTGCCAAAATAAGGGATACGTGTGGAAAATAGTAATACAGCGCACTATCCAACCGAGATCTCGGTAAGCGGGCTGGAAGTGTCGCCATATGAACACTTCATCCCGGTTATCGGGATGAACGACGGGATGAATTCTCGTGGTCCGGATGGCATCGTCTTTCATTGCCTGCTGTATTTTACACATCATAAGCATCCCATTTAACTGCAGTGATACGGCTTTAAGAGTTACCGAAGCCCGAGAGTAAAAAATTTTGTGTTTCTCCCTGTTTGCTTTGTTTCCCAAATTTGGCGCCAAAACTCGTCCCGAGGATCTTTGACCTTTTTTCATCTCAGAAACTGGGCTGAAATTTCTCTTATGAACCCAAGGCAGAATTCATCCCGGTAACCGAGTCAGCCCGGGCAACCGGGCTCATATGAAGAGGCCCTGAGACCCTTGATCGTTTTTGCTCTTTATCTTCTGAGTCGGTAAATGTTTTCTTTTTTTCTTATCTGTTATGTGCTTTCTTTATGAAACTGTTTATTCGTGATTGGTTCGTCAGTTTGGTTTTGACCGTATTTTGTATAACAGCCCGTAAACTCCGTTAGAAAAAGAAAAAAACCTGAAAACAAACAAACAAGAGCAAAAAACTAAATTGGCCGACGGTGTTCTTTTGCTTATTTTCGTCGCTAAGCAGCATTTTAATGTCAAGTTTATTGTTGATGTTCAGTAAATGATCGTACATGAGATATAAATCGACAACTCGCTCTGGACTTCAGTGATTATTAACATGACATAGAACTGCGACAAATCGCAACTAACGCGAAACAACACACGAAAAATCGCAATTTTTGCTGCTGCGTGCAAACGTGGACATAAGGCGCAATTGTTCCAAAGAAAACGTTGGTTTTGTTTTACCATTGAAAAAAGGTAAAGGCGCACACGAGTCAAAGGCCCAAAACGGCTTGAGCTATATACCGGTTTCCGTAGCATGAAGCACACCTAGGAGTATTGCTACTCCCCGATAGACCGGATGCTAGTCCATCGCAGGGTTACCCCCCAGCAGTATGTCGCTGATACCCATTTATACACCTGGGTGAAGAGAGACAAAGTGGAGTAAAGTTCCTTGTCTAAGGAAGCGAGGCTTGAACCCCGGACCTCCAGGGGATCCAGAGTTCGAGGTGTTAACCGCTCGGTCACTCACGAGAGAGACCTACGACTAGAAGGACGAGATTTAACTTAAAGTTTTTTCACGTATTCTCAAAAATTAGACACCCCGGAATGCCTCATTGTAGTATTCTCCTCCAGAAAAGTTGGCACTATTATTTTTATTGAAGGAGGTTAAGCCCTTTCTCGACCCTAAAATGATAAAACTTCCAACATTCGATAACTTGTTTCCCCTACTACAACATTCTCGCTAATACTTGTGGTAGAATGACGACGGCTATCACGTTTTCCCGCCATCTTAGAATCTTAGGGCCGGTTAACGGAGTTTAACCAGCGTTTAACAAACCCGCGTTCTAAGTAATTTTCAGTTTGCCGAACGCTTTTATCTAAGCACCATTTGTCGTGGACAGTTTCATTAAAACATATAGCGTAGACTAGAAAAGCATTTCTCTTCTTAAAATAACACACTAAGGAGGAGATCTGAAGGTCGTCCAAAGATTTCTTAAACCGCGGTTCAAGTTAGACCTCGTTTAAATACCGATCCTTAAGGTCTCTAATTAAAGAACACTATAATGGAGCTCACATTATCAAACTGCTTGTATACGGCCCCTGTTATATATATTCTGTTGTTGTTCCCGCAAGGTTTGGCATCGGGCGATTCACCACTGAAGAAGAAATCGATTACACCGTGGAGAAAACCATCAAACATGTGAAGCGACTTCGTGAAATGAGGTTAGTGTCGCTGATAAAAAGTTCCATTCGTCGCCCTAATAGGTCTCTTAGGCGCATTTCAGACGCCGAACTTTTCTTGAGCCGAACCTAACTGGAATCAAGGCCGAGCCAAATTACCTAGACCGGCTGAATTAATTCACACGTCGATCTTAATTCAAGCCGAACGAAATTCAAAGGAGAAAAATGTGCATTTCGGCAAAAGCGCTTGCAAAATTCGTGATAATAATATATGCATTAGGTTCGGCAGATGAAAAGTTCACCGCCTGAATCAGACGTTCCAAAGTAATAATAATAAATAGTAAATACTTAATTATCCACTCCCCTTATTGGGCTTTTCAGGGATAATAAAACAATAATTCAAATAGGACATAATATTTTTACGAATCCCAAATCCCAACTGGTAGGAGGTGAACTATTTACAAGCGTGGTCGACGACTTGAACTCGGGACTACCAAGAACAAATCCAGCTAGCGGTCAGAGCGGGACTGGAACTCGGGGCTTTAGGACTCCAAGTACAACGCTCTAACCGCTCGGCCACGTTGCCTCCAAAGTCGCTTCACAGTCGAAATTTCCGACCGGGCTAGGTGGGGCTGAGCCGTTCGAAATTGAAGTAGGCGTTCCTAACTGATTCAGACGCCGACCTTTTCATGTACTTAATTCAATGTATTAGGTTCTGCTCAGGTTTAGTTTGGCGTCTGAACCGGGCCTTACCGTAAATGAGTTAATAGACGCCCTCTCTCAAATAAACGCCTCTTGTCTAACTAGTAATAGTTGACACTACAGGTGCCCCCGCTCTGTTTGTTGTCGGTCATTAAGAAACATTCCCCCTCGCCCCCACGCTTTTTTAAAAGTTTGTACCAGACGCCCCTTTCTAATAAACACCTTGGGCCAAATATTTTAAATGTAGTTTAGCCAGTGTTTAACAAAACCGCGTTCTAAGTCATTTTCAATTTGCCCAACGATTTTATCCAAACATCATTTATTGTGAACAGTTTTGTGAAGTCATAATAGAGAAGACTAGAAAAGCATTTATCTTCTTTAAAACAACCCACCAAAGCAAAGATCTGGAGGTCCAAAGATTCATTAAACCGCGGCTTAAGTTAGACTTCGTTTAAATATTTGGCTCCTTCTGTCTTTAGACTCCCCGTATGCGATTGTTCTAAAATACTTAGCAGGAAATAGCGAAATAGAGCAAAATCATTCATTTATTCAGTTTCTTGCGAGTTTCTTGCTTCATTAATAAGAGTAACGCATTACATCTCTCGTTCTGCGATGTCAAGTTCACATAAAGGATTTTGATATCAGTGTGTGACATCGAAGTTAAGCTTTCAAACAATAGATATGGATCTCTAAACGGCTTCGACGTATCAATGTATGGATTGGATAGCCTGACATTTATAATCTGTGGTGATTTATTCGCCGAAAGCATATTGGTATTATGAAGTTTGTGACAGTTATGAGAACAAATCGCTCCTTTCTATTAAAAGCCCGCACACTCTTGGGCTCCTAAAAATAAAATAGTCCCCCTGGCTTTTGCAGCTTACTCTCTACCACCATCACATCTCGTGTTATTTATTACTTGCAGTCCTTTATGGGAAATGGTTCAAGAAGGAATCGACTTGAAGACGATTAAGTGGACACAACACTGAAGAAAGACGGAATAATTAAACTTTAATGAAGCTACTGATAGTAGCCATCACTCATGGCAGGTTTAACTCCTGATAGTGTCTCATGAACTAAAAAGGATGCGTACATTTCGCTCCTTATTCACAGGCAGTAGCTGAGATAGTATTGAGTTGTTTTAGTCCAACAACACTGAAGAAAGACGGAGTAATAAGTAAACTTTAATGAAGCTACTGATTGTAGCCATCACTCTTGCCAGATTAAACTCCAGATGGTGTCTTATGAACTGAACAGGATGCGTACATTTTGTTCCTTATTCAAAGGCAGTAGCAGAGATAGTATTGAGTTGTTTTAGTGCAGTCCTTCTAAGAGCATGCGTCGCTATCGCGGACGTAATACGTAATATGTCAAACACCAGATATAGTGTTTCATCACATATTAAACACCGAGAAAAGAGTGAGAAAACGACACGTAGGGGGAAATTGTTGTTGAGATTTTTAATCCAATCCTTCTTCAGGTGCAGTGTCACTTTAGCGGCTGTAATACGTAAAATGTAAAACATTCTCTCTTGTCCGTTTCTAAACAAAATAGACTTAAACTGCAGTAACACAGGTATCCTTCCTGTCAGGATCCTGTGAGGATTTTTCGAGCGCGATTGTCTTCAAAGACCACAAAAGCTCTAGCTTGCGCCACAGTCGAAACTAACCTCTGGATAAGTCCGTCTGAGAAAACCGCGCCAAAATCCTTGTTCTGCGTCCCCACCTGTGTACCCGGATTTGAGTACGTGCCATGATTGGCCTGTTAAAAAAAGCCATTGTCGATTTGGCAATCAGGATGAGAGGAAATTCGAAACGCACTTCGGTAATTCGTTGAGTCCGTCGGGGGCCCAGAAAAAGGATGTTGGCGCTGCCTCGCGGACGTTATACCCTGGGTGCCAGAGACTTTTCTAGCGCGGTTTCCGGTTTCTGTCCAGTCTTTATAGTGACCCGCGCGCCGCTCGTGGCTTCGGCCTTCGGCCAACACCGGAAAATTCCTACAGCACGCGAGAAAAACCCAGGGTACAGACGTTACTAACCGAGGTTAAATTACTTCTGCGACGCCAGCGAGGAAAGCACCCGTGGGGAATTTGGACGTAAAGCTGTGAGAGGAATTAAGTGAAATTGAGAAAGTTTGGGTTTTCCCCCCCAAAAAAATGTAATTTCTCTAGCAACCTTTGTGGCATTGCAGGTTTGGTATGGAATCCCTAATTAAAGGGTTACCAAGTCTCCACTAAAATAGTGGGTAAAGTGGGGGGGGGGGGGTGTGTAGATGAGAGTGTTGTACGCATAAAAACAAATCAGTAAAAATGGTTAATTGTTAGAAAAAGCACCGATATTGAGCGACCAACAACTGCAATGCAGCCACGTCCAACACAAGTATACAGTGCAAAATAATATGTTAAAAGTTAAAAACACTGATATTGGGCGACCAACAAACTGCAATGCAGCCATGTCCAACACAATATACAGTTAAAAATAAAATAAAAGGAACTGAAGGGTTAATATAAGGTATAGATTAGGACCTTGAAGGGAAACAGGTTTCTAGAGCAAACAGATCCACTAGCTATAACCATAACGAGATGCCTGCGGTATTAACACATGAAACTACTGAAAGGTCTTGGAAATAGAAAGTACTTGATTACTTACTCTAACATACATCAGATAGCCTCTGCAGCAGACAAATTAGCGAACAAAATATATTGAAACTCCTCAGCTAGTAGACAAAAATTCCTTTTGCCATGGATGTGGCCCGCAAAAAGTAGCAATTTTCATTTTTTTTTTTGGCCACTCACGTCATAGGTAATCGTCAGCATGATGACGTATAAAATGAGAGGAGTCTGGGGACGAATTTATCCCAGCTGAATGAAAATGAAAATGGTTGAAAAAGGGGGTTACCCTACTAAAAAAAATAACTTTTTTTAAAACAAGATAAACTGCCAACCAGAAAATAAAATCATCTATAATATTGTTTCGTTCTTTAAAACTTTGAAAGTAGGTAATAAACCAGTTGCTGTTCATATGATTATGTTCAAAATGAGAGGAGCCCTGGGGACGAATTTATCCCAGCTAAATGAAAAAGAAAATGGATGGGAAGAAAGGGGGGGGGGTTACCCATCTTTAAAAATAACTTTTAAAGAAGATAAACTGCCAACCAGAAAATATAATCATCCATAATATTATTTCGTTCTTTAAAACTTTGAAAGTAGGTAACGTATAAGGCTATCTTTTTATCTCCAAGAGCTTATTAGCCTTAAAGAAGCATGTAAATACAAGTTACGCTCCGATTGTGATGGACTGCTACTAAACCCTGTGAAATTCAAGACTTTAACTACGTTAGGAGATCGATCTTTTGCTGCTGCTGCTCCTCAACTATGGAATTCATTGCCCTATTCAATTAGGAGTAGCCCCTCAGTAGCATTTTTTAAAAAGACACTCAAGACATTTTCATTTTTGAAAGCTTTTTTGTGATTTTATGTGCTTTTTAATCTCGTTTTTAGTAGGTTTTATGCAGTTTTTTACGATTTAAGTAGTCTAGGTAATTTTTATAGTTTTAGTGTTGACATAATTGTTTTACTCTTTTTGGTAGGTTCATGCACTTTTTGCATGTATACTTTATGCAGTCTTAGTATTTTTTTTTAATATTTTTATCTTTAAGCGCTGATGAAAATAGCAATATTGATACCGGCGCTATATAAGTATTATTATTATTATTATTATTATTATTATTATTATTATTATTATTATTATTATTATTATTATTATTATTAAAAATCAGTAGCTGTTCTTATCAGAGGAGGGAGCTAATAAGTGGCGGGCTTATAATCGGAAGTTTACGGTATCTGTTGAAGTATTCTACTTGAATTGATGCTCTGTATGAGACCAATTTTACAGTAAAAGCTTAATCAAAACATGTAGGTCGTACAACGATCTTCACGAAACTGGAACCGCGTCTTTTTTGAGGTGTAACGTGAGCTGACAGATTCTTCACATAAAGTTCCGAATGTAATGTTGAAGTATGCACGATGCTGTTTAATGGAATCCTGCAGATTTTTGAACGGTGACTTGCTGCGGCTGCATGATTTGTCCTCGTCGTGCGGTGTTCCGTGACATTCTCTGTGTGCAGAATGCACATTGAGGGCCTTTTCGCTGTAAAACACCTCCACACCATGGTGATAGGGACCATATTTTATAAAGAACAGCATTAAGGGCGGTAGATGAGGAACTATGTCGTTGTCAATAACAACTCTCCAACTGTTGTTGACTAATTGATCGTGTTGCAGAGCGTATTTGTAGTCGCCAACTCGAGGGCTCCCAAACGTGTATAAGATGACGTTTTGACGTGGAGCGATGTTGTAATAAACAAGCCAAGCACTCGCCAAGGACGCTAAGGCAGCACCAAGAGAATGCCCTGTAAACCAGATCTGATAAGAGGGATTCTTTGAAACGACAGCTTTCACTATCGGCTCCATGCACTGCCATAAATCTTCAAAGGCCGCCTTGAAATAGGCCTGAACTTTGCCATTAAGAAAATCTTGGGATGGGGTAAGAATGGTCTCTAGCAATTCATCGATAAGTTGACTTGTGCTTTCAGTTCCGCGAAACGCGACGACCAAGACTCGCAAAGAATGCGAAACCGCTACATAACCAGCACACTTGTTATCGAGGAAGTCACACTTCTTTGTAACAACCGTTTGAAGTTGAAATTTGGTTGATGGCAGGTGTTGATCAAGACAATGCTGAGGGTGAGATTGATCATATGCTACCGCAGAGAGAATCGCCATCTTGTACGACAGTTCAGGATTATAAGACATCTCGCGTCTTTCAGTATCACCGCTGTAACCATTTCTTCCACAATCGCCTTTGATGAGGGTTATTTGAGAGGAAGTAAGAATGAAGGCAAGACCAGCGAAAATACTATGCATTTTTCTCAACGAATAACCCACTCGTAAACTGACGACGTGTGATTCTCAATATAAATATCCTCACGAGTTTTGCTCCGAGTCTAGCTCTGAATATGAAGCGACACCGACTGTTCTGACAATCTGTTTCGCTGTATCGTTCCTTTAGGTTTCTATTGAAATTCGGTTTTAACAGGAAGTCGTAAACCTATGTTAACAGCGTTACGACCTGGTTGAAACAGTAGAAACTGAAATGAAGTACTGACACGAAAGTGAAAAAAGGACAATAATAAATAAACTCAAGAATGAACATCATTGTCAAAAGCAAATTCAAAGAAAGATCTGGAAGATGAAGGCGTTATTGTTAAGTTACCAGTTTATGCTGTCTGAATGACAGCATATGAATCGTCCATCTTTGTTTTTAAGCTCTTTTGAAATGGTTTTATGAGCATTCCTATCGTTACTAACCAATAGAAAGCATCCATCGTAACAAAAGACAAAGGATTGTGCACGGTTGTTTTTGTTACCGTTGCTGATGTTTTCGGACTCAGTCTCAGGCGCGGGTCCACACCGGTTTCCTCCGTTTTACGGAAATCGGTCAGATTTTTCATTTCAAACATATTTTTAATAAAAACTTTCCAAGTTGAAATCTTGAAAATGGTTTGGACAATTGTTTTCAATTTCCAGGCATTAGAAAGAATAATGATAATTATCTGCCAATTTGTAAGGCTTCATCCGAGGAGAATGAAGCTAGACTTCCAGGTTTGCTTCCGAGTCGTTGACCGAGCAAGACATCGAAAAAATAGTTGAAGACAAGGACTCACAAAAACAAAACTGGTCGACGAAGGTGGCAAAGGAGCTGTTTGCTGATTATGTGAAAGAGAAAAAACTGAGAGAACCTGAGGAAAAGAAAGAGTTGGCGCAAACTGGAAACATTTCATGTCGAAGCGAGAAAGAAAGGATTCGTTCAATGAACAAGGGTCTTTTTTGCGTAATCATGCGCGACCGCTGACTTGTCAAAGAGCACGCGACCATTCTCGTTCCAAGAGCCACTCGGCTTAATTTGTAACCGACCAGTGAAGACCACGTGACCAAGAAACGACGGGCTCTGGGGAAGAGAATGGCACGCGACCAGTGACAGCGACCGTACTACGTAGTCATAGGAACCAAATTGTTCACTTTGAAAGCTTGCTTGAGATTGAAATGGTAGCAGAAACTTAGGAAAGACCTTCGTTGTACAAAATAACTAAAGATCAGTTGATTTAAAGTGGAGACTGATGCGCTGAACGAGGTGAAAGAGCCAGTTTCTCAAGGATGTCTGACACGAACATGGCTGCTTGTTGTTGTTTGGCGCTCGACTCGTGTCTTGATTCCCCTTTAAGAACCGCAAAGTGTGGCATAGAATGCATTGCTGATGCGTAGCTATTGAGCAAAATGTTCTTTATTTAGTGTTTGTCTATAAATCGGATGTAAATCAGTTTCTGGATGCCGTAGAGGATTTCTGTCAATAATTTGTTAATAGCTGATTTAGCCATATTTCGGGAGTGGATTAATAACGATCAGCGGGCGACTACCACCCCGTTTTCAGTTGGAATAGAAAGTTTTCGCCTTAAGTATTTTAGCGATACAAAGTGTGTTTATAGGAAAATTGTAGAACTTCTTGTTTTGACGTGGACTAACATTGTAACGCACCTTTTACAGGAATTTGCTTTTAGCCAGAACTTAAATGTTCTAATGATTTTTAACTTTTGGTCGGCATCACATGTTTACTGTACTTCTTGGGAAACCTAACCGTTTGTTTCATCAAAATCGGTCACAAGATTGGACTTTAATTTCGGTCCTATTGAATGCAGTTTTGACTGCGTCTCATTGATATTCATTTTTTTTTATTGTTCGAAACATACACAGTGACTACCACCAACATCTCACCAGGTGACTAATCTACGTCGAGTGTGCTCTTAATTTTGTAGCTTTAAAGTGCAGGGAAAATTGTAGAACATATATTAATTCACTGCTGAAATGAACATCGGCTTTCGCGCACTTCGAACCCACTCGCTGAAATTTGCTATGTTTTTTTTTATATTTCTCTTCCTTTCGCATTTCAAAACAAAGAAAATTGAAAGTGTTTACTTGCATCAACAAACGTTTCTGCACTTTGTTTAGACTTTGATGAGGTCAGCGTCATCCTCCAGGCACTACATATACGCGCGCTGTTGTCCAGGTCAAGTGGGGAGATGAAATTTGATAGTAGCTCGTGTATGTTAAAGCCGGTCTACTTCGCTTTTGTTAAGACCATGTTAGAGTTTTTTTTGCAAACTACACATTTTGTTAAATCACGAGCACATTCGCCAAGATAGCCTGCTATTTATAATCTGTGGTGATTTATTCGCCGAAAGCATATTGGTATCATGAAGTTTGTGACAGTTAAGAGAATAAACCCCTCCTATCTATAAAAAGCCCTCGCGTGCTTGGGCTCCTAAAAATAAAATAGTCGCCCTGGCTTTTGCAGCTTACTCTCTACCACCATCACCGACATCTCATGTTATTTATTACTTGCAGTCCTTTATGGGAAATGGTCCAAGAAGGAATCGACTTGAAGACGATTAAGTGGACACAACACTGAAGAAAGACGGAGTAATAAGTAAACTTTAATGAAGCTACTGATAGTAGCCATCACTCTTGCCAGATTAAACTCCAGATGGTGTCTTATGAACTGAACAGGATGCGTACATTTTGTTCCTTATTCAAAGGCAGTAGCAGAGATAGTATTGAGTTGTTTTAGTGCAGTCCTTCTAAGGGCATGTGTCGCTATCGCGGACGTAATACGTAATATGTCAAACACCAGATAGAGTGTTTCATAACATATTAAACACCGAGAAAAGAGTGAGAAAACGACACGTAGGGGGAAATTGTTGTTGAGATTTTTTAACCAATCCTTCTTCAGCTGCAGTGTCGCTTTAGCGGTTGTAATACGTAAAATGTAAAACATTGTCTCTTGTCCGTTACTAAACAAGATATACTTAAACTGCCGTAAAACAGATAGCCTTCCTAGCTGTCAGGATTTTTCGAACGCGATTGTGTTCAAA